AATCTTAACCTTGCATTATAAGGAAAACCTTGTTGCCCTGACTAAAAATTTTTAGCCAGAATCCTCTAATCATGCCACATCTTCATCTTTTCTTTGTAAATCTTAGCACTTTCATAAGATTCATTCCTTATCTCTTTAAGCTCATTTAATTGCAATAATCTTTTCTTATCAGCATCATTTAAATTGTAGTTAAATTCTATAATAACACAATATGCTTTATGTTCGAGTTCAACTGGTAAGTGACACACTTTTCCAAATATTAGCCTGTATGGGGACATATCTATAGGAGTTTTGTATGCAGTCCTATAAGCCCACAAAGCATAGTCAACTTTGACTGACTAATCCATTTTAGTCAGATTTACAGATTTTTTCAATATTCTTTTAATTTCATGATTAGATAATTCAGTCAAACCACTTGTCTGAGGATGATAAGCAGTATCAATTTTATGATTAATATGATATTTCTTTAATAACATATCCATTATTGTATTTCTAAAATGACTTCCCCCATCAGTTATGATTACTCTCGGCATCCTAAATCTACAAAATATGTTTATTCTTAAAAACTTTGCAACACTTTGAGCATCACATTGAGGTAAAATAACAACTTCTATCCATTTGGATACGTAGTTTACTGCTAACAATATATATAAATTTATGAAAGATGGTAAAATGATCCCATGAAATCTAATTCCTCAAACATCAAACATCTCAACTTCTAACTCATAATTGAGGGGCATCTCATTTCTCCTAGAAATATTGCCTACTCATTGACATCAATCACAAGTTTAATTATAAGCGTTAACATCTTTAAAGATTGTAGGCCAATAAAATCCAGATTGTAAAATTTTATATGTTGTTTTATCAATACCAAAATGTCCCCCAAAATTAGAATTATGACATTTTTGGATAATTTCATAAGTTTCTTCTAAAGGTGCACATCTTCGAATAATAAGATCATTTCCTTGTTTATATAAAAACGGGTCATTCTAAAAATAAATCTTAGCTTTACATAAAAATTTCCTCTTTTGTTGGTATGTCATTCCATAGGGTATAACATCACTAATAATGAAGTTTGCAATGTCTGCATAGCATGGAACACTCCACTCATTAACATTAAACAATTCTTCATCTGAAAAATGTTCATTAATATCTTTTTCAAAATAGAGTGTTTTCTCAAATTCAAGCATGGTCAAATGATCACCAAAATGATTCTCATCTCCCTTTATATCTACTATCTCAAAGTCAAATTTTTACAAAAGAAGACTCCATCTTATAAGTCTTAGTTTTAAATCCTCCTTTTTCATTAAATACTTAATAACATAATGATCTGTATGGACAATATATTTAGTTTGAATTAAGTATGATATAAATTTATCAAAAACATATACTATTGCTAATAACTCTTTTCTCAGTTGTGGTATAATTAATTTGAGCTTCATGAAGAGTTCTACTAGCATAGTAGATAACCTTGAAAAACTTATCATGATTTTGTTCTAAAACAGCTCCAATAGTATAATCAATAACATCACACATTAATTCAAAAGGTCTTCCCCAATCTGGTGAAACTGTAATTGGTGCAGTGACTAAACTTTCTTTTAATAAGTCAAAAGCTTTTAGGCGCTCATCATCAAAATTAAAAATCACATCTTTTTCAAGTAAATGACATAGAGGCTTAGCAATTTTTGAAAAGCCTTTAATATATCGCCTGTAGAATCCAACATGTTCTTAAAAACTCTTAATTTCCTTCACCCTTGATGGGTAAGGTAAATTAGTGATCACTTAAATTTTTGCAGGGTCTACTTTCATACCATTTTCTGAAATTTGATGTCCCAAAACAATTCCTCCTGCTACCATAAATTGACATTTTTTTCAATTAAGGAGTAATTTTTTTTCTTCACAACGCTTAAGAACCTTTGATAAATGATTTAACCATGATTCAAATGAACTTTCAAACACTGAAAAATTATCCATAAAAACTTCAATCTCTTTTTCAATTAAATCACAAAAAATAATCATCATACATTTTTGAAGTGTAGCAGGTGCATTACATGAACCAAAGGGCTGTAGGGAGAAAGCGTGAGGGGATTATATGCGAAAGTGAGGAGAAGCTTGAGAGGATGCCTAATTAAAAATTGGTTTCACTTGAATCATCATAAAGAAAGAGACTTTATTATAGTTTTGAGCTTTTATTTCCTAAAAGTATTGGTTTAACTTTACTAGTAGAGTTCTCTCAAATTCTATCTATTATTTTTCCGAGATCCCTATGTTTTTCAAACTACAATTAATTTTTGAAATAAATAGAAAATTAGAATTTTTGGACTTGATTACAAAATATTCGTATGTTGTGTTTCTAAACTGAATTACTAGAATTTTTCTAAAGTCATAACAACCACATTTATAGGGCAAAACTATAGGGGTCTTTAATGAAACCCACTATCACGTATTAACATATTTAATTTTGCAAAAAAATAGGTTACTTGTGGACAAGTAACGATTATGTTTGGAGATTTTGACATACCTAAAATATGCCACTTTTATTTGCACATTTATTGAATATTTTTAGTGATATTGCACTTTAATGAAATTTATTTTTGATATTTTTTGTTGTAGGTACACTAAATGGAGAAAGTGGAGCAAATAGAAAAAAATTGAGTAAATTATAGTCAAAGGAAGCAAAATAACTAATGTTGACCTGGCACCTAAGTGCTAAAGACAATTTTCTAGATAGTTCAATGAACATGGACGAATTTTGAAGGGGTGCTTGAAGATGTTTGGAATCTAATACGAGATGTTAGCCTTTAGATGAGGGGTAAGTGGGAACTTTAGAGTGACAACTGGTATCTTCTCAGCCTAACCACGAGTTTAGGGACTTAACTCTGGATTAACCAATATTTTTTATGCACTCGAGAGAGAGTAAATAATAAGTATGCTCCTATTTAGCACAATACATTAATTATATTTAAAATTATTAGATTCCTACATTGATTATAAACTCATTGCAAGGGGAAAGATATTTTATACAAATTTGAACTATTCTATACATTTTTGGTTTAGAATTACTTAGTGGTAACTATACATTTTAGCCTTTTTAAATTATCTTGCATTTACATTCTACATTTGCTTAACATAGTTAGCATTCTTTTTAATACTGTAGAATTAGGTAATACACAAAAACTTTTTATCATTTCCCATATAAGTTAAGTGCAGTTTAAAGAGGATTTTTACTAAAGTCATTCTATAAGAGTTTTGCCCATTCCTGTGGGATCGATACTTATGACTCCATTAGAGCCCTATATTATTCGAAACGATACGTATACTTGCGTAGTACCTCTAATGTGCAAACCATTTTATCAACTTTATATAATATTTAATTTTGCACACTAGCTGCTTAATATAAATTTGGTAAAGCTTTTGATCATATTTTAGAATTAAAATAATTGTGTAATTGCGGGTTGGGTCAAGTAGTAACTGGTCACATATGCCATAATGGGTCACTATGAGAGCATCATTTGGCCACATAGGCCATAATGTGAAGCTATAGTAGTAACTGACCACATAGGTTGTAGTGAAAAGCAATACTGGTAATTGACCACATAGGTTGTAGTGGGTCGCTGCAAGAGCGCTAGTTGGCCATGGAGACTACAGTGAAAAACTTTAATGATAATAGTTAGCCACGGAGACCGCAGTGGGAATTTATAGTAATAACTAGCTTATATGCCATAGTAGATCATTGCAAAGTGTTAATTGACAATAAAGATATTGGAAGGTTGTAATGATATAAGTGCCACATAGGCCATAGTGGGAAGCTACAGTTCGACCATAGTACTTGATCATATAGGTCGTAGTTAGTGCTAGAACGGTTGGTGGCCCCAACCGTTCTCTCTAGTTTATTAATTTACGTTAGAGACAACACTTGCCAGTAGATGACTTATAGAAAAATATTAATTTAAGTTAGTTTTATTATGAAATTTCAAATATAATAAGCATTTAGAAGATAATTAATAAAAAACCACTTGATTTAAGTTATTTAATGTTAGTTCTAAATATTTTTAAAAATTCAAATAAAATTTTTGAATTTTAATATATTTTAAGTATATTTTTATTGATTATTTTTTAATCGAGCAGACTCACGAGCTAACAAGTCGAGTTGGGCCTAACTTTAACTTGGCTTGTTAGCTTATCGAGCTCATTTCGTGTCTCCTTGGTTTCAAGTTGAAGTAGTGCAAAAGGAGAAGAAAGATGGGAGTTTCGGGTTTTTGTATCCCGCGATCCCACCATTGCCTTTCCAGTTAGCTCTAATTGTGACTCTACCGTGAGGGTTCAATCACGAAGCTGATGGTTTTGGGCAAAATTAGGAGAGGTGATATGGACATAGCTGAGCGTTTCGAGCAGGAGAAGGGGAGCGACGCAGACGAACATTTTGAGGGTAGAGGGGAAAGGGAGTTGGAATTGTTGTTTTAATTTAGATTTATTTAAGCTAATTTTATTAATTTAATTGATTAATAATTAAGTTAATTAATTACGTGTAGATAAATTTACATGTAATTATAGAACAGTTATTTAATAAAAAATACATTTAAAAATTTAATTTTTTTTTATTCAATCAAATTAAAACACTTATTATCTACTATAATTAATAATTTAAAAAAAATAATAATTAAATAATGTTCAATAATTGCTTAATAAGTAATTAGTTTAATAAAGTTTTTTTATTATTTAATTAATTTAGTAAATAATTAATTATTTATTAGTATAATCATAAATAAAAGTTAAATTAAATTAAATAATTGATTTTTATCATAATACTAATAATTAAATTTTAATTATGATTTTTAATTAGAAGAAACAAATTAAATTTTAAAATCTTATGTGGTTATCGAACAGTTCTAAATTTGACTAAATTTACTATTTCAGCTGTGAAATACGTTTTGAGAATTAGCCCTTCCAAATATTACTAAATCCGGCTTTATAAGCTTACTAAATCCGACTAACTTAGGATAATCCATTGCCATGGAAGCACTTATGTTCAGAGCGGAAACGAGCTCAAATCCATGGACGATCCGCCATTTCTGGCTTTAAATTCGAGCTTCTTTCTGCACGTAAAATACCAGTTTTTCCCCTCTCTCCATTTTCCTCGTTGCTCTTACTCCTAATCTGCTCACCATGAGATTTGTATCCACTGCCAAATATCGCTTCTGTTCATTCTCTTCTTCGAATCACTTCTTAGGTTTTCTCCGTTCTTCCTCTTCTTCCCCCGTCTCCGCTTCGGCCGCCACCGCCGCTCTCTCCTCACATTCTTCCTCGCCATCTGGGGGCGGCGGCGGGAACGGCAATCAGCACTGGCGGTTCATGTCATGGCCCAGTGCTCTGCTTCCAATCGCTTTCGCCGCCTCGGCCAGCTACTTTTACCTCGATCAACGCCACTCCCCGGCCCACTGCGACTCTGTGCTCGATCATCGGTAAGACGTCCTCCCCCCTTTCTCCGTCTCTTTTCTCCATGGATTTACCGCGATCCGTACTTATGGTTGCAGTTATGGTGGGATGGAAACGACGAATATCCGTGAGGAAGTATACGAGGTGTTCATTGACGAGCTCAGAAATATTCTGCAAGTAATTGGTTACTTTCAGACTTCTCGATTAGATTTTTTAGGATTTTGTGGGGTTTGGTAGTTTTTTAAGTGGGGATGTTCGGTGTGCAGAATGACATGACTGTGGACTACGACGAGAGGTACTTCCATGGTAAGCCGCAGAACAGCTTCCATAAGTCTGCCAATGTTCCGGATGTTGTTGTGTATCCCAGGTACTTTTCTTCTTCGTTTTCGCTTGAGCTACGTTGGTTGATTTGTTCAGGAATATCTCCTATAGATATACCTAATGTAATTTTTTGTAATTAAGGCAATTTTTCGGCTGTGAGACTTAACGTGTACCACCTAATTCTTATATATTTACATGTCTAACACCTACAGTTTAATGTTTACACACATTCCAGCTTACCTATACATAAAAAAATGATGTATTGTGCTTTTTAAAAATTGTAAAAATGGTAATTTTTCTTGGGATATGAAAGATTTGGGTGGCATAAATGTAAAGAGTGGAGTATAGGCGTTACATATGTAAATACATAAGAATTGGGTGGTATGTATGTAAATGCTCCAATCTAATATAACCTTGGACGGGTTATGCCAATATAACTTCTAGCTGCTGACTTCTCTAGACACGCTTCACGTGGCCAAATCGATCGTGATAAGATTTCGATTTCATTCTAAAATAATGAAATCATATCCCTGCTTTGAGCATGTTAGAGAGCCGAACACGTCTGCTGTGGCACCATTAGGATAGCAGTAGGAATTCGAAGCTGTCAACAACACATTTATGAATTTAGTGCCGCCCTAGACTAACCTGTAACGACTGAAATAAAAAAATAAAATAAAATATTAAAGGGCATGGATAACCGTCTCTAAGGATATCTCAAGAGTCGTATGCCCCATTTTTGAATATTATACAAAGCAATGAAATAACGAGAAAGGCGAGAGCAAGAGTGGTCGCGTGCGGAAGAAAAATCATAGGGAATATTTGGCTGCAGATCAGATTTATGTTAAATAGGATTTTGTAAATATGGTAAATTCTGATTCATCAAATCTAAAGATTATTAAATCCAAAATTATGTTTTGTTCAATTAAGATTAAATCCACTTAAATCTATTTGATATATTTGGCATAAACCAATTTGAAATATTTTTTTCTCAAGTTAATTCCGTTAAATTCAAAGTGAATTTAATAAATTCAGATTTAATAAATGGAACAAGCAAAAATTTGATTTAACTTACCAGCGGATTTATCTAATCTATTTATGATGTTGGGTGGATTTAAGTTAAATCCATATTTAAATATCGTTAAAATATACTACAAAACACCCCCTTTGATTTCTTGGGAAGACGAAGGAGAAGGAAGGAGAAGAAAATGAAGAAAGGAAAGGTGGGCGGTTTGCATGCGGCGTCGTTTGATCGTGTTCTGTGAGACAAAGGAAGTGAAATAAGAAGATGAGAAACTATCGTGTTCGGGAGAACCTATAGAGAGGGCTTCCTTTGTAGGTGCTTGTGAGAGAAGACGACGTTGTCACTTGTTGTGGGACTGCCTGAGGTTGTCGAAGCCAATGTTGCATTGTGTTGGCGTGCGTGAAGAAGGAGAACTAAACGATGCCGAAGAAGGAAGAAGGAAACAACACCGTGCTTACGTGTAGAGGAAGAGGAGGAGAAGATTCATGCGTGTAGGTAGGAGTCGAACCTCTCGTACAGAGAAAGCAGAGGAAGAAAAATTCATAGAAAGAAGAAGAAAGGGAGCTCAACGGAGCTTTGCGTGCGTGCTGGAAGGGAAACCAACCTAAGAGAAAGGTGAGTTAGTGTTTAAGTATATTTTAATTTTATATATATATATATATATATATAGATACATATATACATATATAGAGACAGAGAGAGAGAGAAAGAGGTGAGTTAGGGTTTAAGTATATTTTAATTATATATAAACTTATATATATAAGTTTATTCTTTAAATATTAAGTGCAAGTGCTTTTAAAATCAATATTGAAGCTATTAAATCCCAAATTAGCGTGAGAAAAGGTGGTACGAACTTCCTGGACAAGGAAAAAGAAAGAATCGCATGTGTGAAGTGAAGAACCGAAGTCGAATGAAACCTTAATTTGTGAGTTAAGGTAAATTTTTTTTTTCAAATTGTTTATTGGAATTTTATATACATTAAATTGATATATATTTCATATTTTAATATGAAATTATGTTAATTGTAGTCAGGGAGGTAATCAAAAAACTTTGCGCGCGAGCAACGTATAAGATATATAAGACCCTATTTCAGTTATCCTAGTGAAGAAACGAATGATTGAAGGAGAGGAAACGATGAGTCAGAAGTCGAAGAAGTGAAAGTAAGATGGGAAATCAAATGGAGTAGGAGAGGAAGATAGGGGAAGTTGGGAATTCGTAGTTGTGAATTGATAACTTGTTGAGTCGAACGGCGAGTGCGACAGACGACAAATGCAAATTAGGGCATCTTCGTAGCCGAAGGTAACGACGATGTCTTTGTCAAGTGGAGAAGAGGCTGGCAACAACAACAAGTAGTTACTTTGCTATGTCGAGCCTCGACCGAAGGAAGGTGAACTTAGTGACTCTATAGGGAGAGAGGCAAAGCTTGAGTCGTGCGTCATTCACTTCTTGCATACAGAGAGGAAGAAGGGAGAAAAAGATTTGAGCTTGTGCTGTAGGGAGCCAAAGCTAGAGGAGCTCATATATAGAGGATCATAATCACGCCCGTGCATGGCTTAATAGTCGATCAAGGAAGGTAAGGTAAAGTTTAACTAAGGGATTTAATTATAATGTACATATGAGCCGAACACTGTGTGCAATGTAAGTGTCGTGCCCTAATTTAATAGAAGAAGCCAAAAGAAGAAAGGGGGCGCTGTCAAAAGGAAGAAGGGGGAGAAGAGCAGGCGGAATCGAGAGCAAATGGAGTAAGAAGCTTGTTTGTGCGTAGACTAGGGTTCGACAGATGTAAGCTTCAATCAAGTTAATTTACTTGATTTAAGAATAAAATTAATTAATTATATATACATATATATATATATATTTATATAATAGAAAAATAAACAGGATTATATGAAGTGAAATAATGAAAACTTTTAGCTAATTAAAATAATTTAAATTATTAAATTTGTAATAACATTATCAATAAAATTAAATATGAATACTATGTTTATTTTAGACGTTCCATTTTAGAAGAATCAATGTCAAGGGCAACCCGATTGTCTATCAACGAGGTGAGTACTTCTATACTTAAATTATAGTATCATTTTAATATCTCTTCTAAATTGGTTGTATAGATTGTTATTTATGCTTCAGTAACGCAATTGATTTTTCTATTATTGAATTTTATCAGTTATTTTGATTTGAATACTTATAAACTCATATTTTGAAATATTTAATGCATTATAGTATTACTTGTTGAGTGACATGAAATTGTGAATGATATGATCTGCATAGATTGATTGTATGTGCATGATTCACTATGATGGAGTCTAGTGGAGGAACACTAAGGTACCCATATTAGTGTATGGAAAAATGATATGGATATTGAAACACATTAAGAGATAATTTTTAGACGGTGCTTCAATAATATTTTTACATATATAAAATGATTGATGTAAGGTTCATTGAATAACATCTTAAATGTTTATATTGATTTATTAAAAAAAATTAACTGACATGTACATCTCTTTCTTTTTTCATTGTATTGCTATTGTTTAAGAGTGAGTATTCACTGGTTTGCTTGACTCACAGTTATTTTAAAACTAATTTTTTATATTAATTAAGTTGATTAAAAAATGTGCGATAGAAGAAAAAAAATTTATAGGAGGTATGAACAACCAGTAACGAGGTAAATTTAAATATATTGTTTTAATTTAATTTGGTTAGTGACTTTCATTTGTTAACAATATAAAAACTGAATATATGAAAAATTTGATTCTCATTGTATGACCGTTTGTTCCCCTCTTCGTTAAATTTAAGCCCCGGGTTAGGTCGTGATAAAAGTGATATCAGAGTCAAGCTTTATGATTAATTAGTGTAATATGGATGAAAGAATCAATAAGATAATCATAAGAAAATTTAATAATTATAAAAATTAAAGTTAACTCAAATTAATAATTAATTTATATTCAGACATAGTGATACACTCAAAAGCATAGAAGAAGAAAATCCGATAGAAAATGAAGAAATACAAACTACTATAAATGTGAACACAAATGTTCTCACCCAAATGATGGCGGCGATTACTCAATTTATTCAAGAGTCTAGATCACAGTTTATTGAAAGAGATACAGTCGCTGTAGATAAATACTTAAAAATATTTCAAGATCTGCATTCACATTTATTCAAGGGAACCGAAGACCCAATTGAAGCGGATAACTGACTAATGAGGATAGATAAGATACTAGAGAGCATGACTTATCCGGATGAAAGAAGAGTACCATTGACAATGTTTGTACTGGATGGAGAGCGTCAGGACAAGTTAGGGGACATACCCAACATGATGTTGAATTGGGAGGAGTTCGTTTACATTTTTAGAAAGTGGTTTGTACCCCTATCCAGGACAAATGCAAGACAAGTTCATCAAGCCGAGACATGGATGTGGTACAAAACAGAATTCACTGCACTATCGAGTTATATGACACGATTAATCAATATTGCAGAAGAAAAATGCTACAGATTCCATTTGGAATTAAAGGATTCGATCAGGCTGCCATTGATGAATACTCGGTATTAATGGAACGAGCTAGAAGAATGAAGATTGACTATCAGCTTACTCAGAAGCGTAAGGAGATGCACAAGAGAAAGAGCGTTGAAGAAAAGAACATGTGGATCAATCAAGGGATCAAATAGGAAGAAGTCCAACAACAATTAGGGTGGAATTACTAGAGGTATGACACAAAATACTGTAATCACTTATGCTAAATATGTAAGACAACATAAGGGTGAATGCTTGATGGGCTCTAACATTTGCTATTGGTGACGTTAATGCGGTCATATAGCAAGACATTGTCCATCTCTTAGCCAGAAAAGCGCTGAAGATCAGAAATTAGGCGGAGCTTCTTCACAAGAGTCTGCGGACAGGTAGAAAAAGATAGAGTCTATAGCTTGAGCTCTAACTCAAGGTCAACAAAGATAACTTGTTCGGCATGAGTATATTTCCTTACTCATAGTTAGCTTGAAAACCTACAATTGCTAATGGTGATGAG